GGCGGCAGGGAGGAGGAGGAGGAGGAGGGCGAGGGAGGTGGCGGGAGGAGGCGGCGAGGGAGGTGGCGGTTGGAGGCGGCGAGGGAGGTGGCGGGAGGGCGAGGGAGGAGGAGGGCGAGGGAGGTGGCGGGAGGAGGCGGCGAGGGAGGTGGCGGGAGGCGAGGGAGGTGGCGGGAGGTGGCGGGAGGTGGCGGGCGAGGGAGGTGGCGGGAGGAGGCGGCGAGGGAGGAGGAGGGCGAGGGAGGTGGCGGGAGGAGGCGGCGGCGAGGGAGGTGGCGGGAGGAGGCGGCGAGGGAGGAGGAGGGCGAGGGAGGAGGCGGCGAGGGAGGTGGCGGGAGGGCGAGGGAGGTGGCGGGAGGAGGCGGCGAGGGAGGAGGCGGGAGGGCGAGGGAGGTGGCGGGAGGAGGAGGGCGAGGGAGGTGGCGGGAGGAGGCGGCGAGGGAGGAGGCGGGAGGAGGCGGCGAGGGAGGTGGCGGGAGGGCGAGGGAGGTGGCGTGGTGTCAGCTGCTCACTCCCTCGAAGGTCGGCTTGATGACTATCTCGACCGGGCCACCTGTCCGGCGAGGGGCCGGGCGACCAGTCAGCAGTCAGGAGGAGGTCAGGAGAAGGACAGGAGAAGGTCAGGAGAGGGCAAGGCACGTGCGAGGACACATCTTGGGGGGCGCGTCTTGCAGACTGGAGTTGGGGGGGCGCGTCTGGCAGACTGGTGTTGGGAGGGTCTCAGACTGGCATTGGGCGTGTGCAGACTGGTCTTTGGGGAGGGTACTCAGACTGGTGTTGGGCGGGGCGTCTGCCGGGCGTCGGCGGAGCGTCTTGGGAGCGCACCCTTGTCGTCAGGCTCCTCATGCAGGTACTTGCGCGCGATGGCCATGGCCTTGCACGCCTGTGACGGGGATGGGGGGAGGGGGGGGGAGAGGGGGGGGGGGGGGGAGGCGGCCGAGCCGGCGTCGGCGAGGAGAGGTGGAGGCGAGGAAGGCAGAGGGCCGCGAAGAGAGCTGAGCAGAGGCGTGGTGCGGTGCGCGCCTGGTTGAGAGCCGCGGGGCCCGTGGCAAGCAGGCTGGGAAGCTTTTGGCCCTCGCGCACGATGTTGCAGATCGCGCCCGCCACCGAGTTGGGCTTCGACTCCCCCGACACCTGGAGGCGAGTGGGGCGGGCGTGAGAGGACTTGCGCGCGGCGCAAGTTTGGCGCGGCGTCGAAAGCGGAGCCTTGAGCTTCGGGTTGTCGGACGCGGCGAGCTCCGAGACAGACGCGCCGCTCATCGTCCCGACCGCCTCTCCCAGCGGCGCCTTGCTCCGCTGGTACGGCGCGCTCGAGCGTGCGCTCGAGCGCCGAGGCGGCCTTCCGCCGCGAACGACTCCGCCGCTCCCGCGGCTGGACTGCTTGATGACGTCGTCGAGAGCCATGTCCACACCTGTGGGCGGGGTGGGTGTCGAGGCGCCGAGGCGGGGAATGGGCGCAGCGAGAGCAGGGCACCGGTCGACATCGAAACACGTATAAGGTCAAGGACTTCGGCGTGTGGGCCGCTGTCGCGTCAAAGTTGCTAAGCAAAAATCATTTTTTTTCTATTTTTGCACCCCCCCCCCCCCCCCAACCCCTTCGTCTCCCGCCTCCCCGTCCGCCCCGCCCAGGCGCGCGTCACCCTCACCGTCGCGCTCCGCGTCGAGGGCGAGGCGCTGAAGCGGCTCGAGTCGACCTTTTGGGCGGTCTCGACCCCTGGCGACCCGGAGTACGGCCAGCGCCCTCCTCCGACGGCCAAGAGACGACCTCTACGGAGAGTTGGTTGTGAGTGACGAGCCGATGGTCGAGGTAGGCAAGCACCTCTCCAACGACCAGGTGACCGCACTGCTCAACGTGAGCCACGAGCGCGTCTCCGCCGCAGCACGTATTTCTTTTTTTGGCAGAGGTATCTCTTTTTCTCTAGGTGAGCCACGAGCGCGTCTCCGCCGCAGCGTATTTCTTTTTTCGGCAGAGTATTTCTTTTTCTCTAGGTGAGCCACGAGCGCGTCTCCGCCGCAGGACGTATTTCTTTTTTCGGGACGGGTATTTCTTTTTCTCTAGGTGAGCCACGAGCGCGTCTCCGCCGCGTCGCATCACTTCGCCGCCGCCGGCGCCGAGGTGACCGTCGCGCCAAACCGCGACATGCTCACCGTCGTGATGACGGCGGCGGAGGCGGAGGCGCTGCTCTCCGCTCGCCTCCACTGGTACCGCCACTCCCGCGTCAAGGCTGCGCCGCGGCTGCTGCGCGCTGCCGCAGGGTACTCGCTCGACGCATCGGTGGCTCAGCACGTTTCGCTCGTCGGCGAGCTGTGGTCCAGCTCCCGCACATCGGCCAGAGTTGTCTCTTTTCGCAGCCCGAGTGTCTTCTCCTAGGCGAGCTGGTCCAGTTCCCGCACATCGCCGAGAAGGCGACCACCGACGCGGCCGAACCCGCCTCCTTCTTCTCCGCCGCCGCCGGCGAGGAATGGCCAAAGGGGTGCGCGGCGGCGCAGTGCGACAACTTTGTCACGCCCGCAGTGCTGGCGATGCGGTACAAGATCCCCGCCGCCGCCGCGAGCGGCAGCACGGCTAGCTCGATGGCGGTGGCCGAGTACCAGGGGCAGTACTACAAGACGTCCGACCTGGCCACGTTTGGCGAGAGCTGCAAGGTTGACGTCTCGATCAAGGAGACCATCGGAGGGGACCTGCCCGTCGCGGGCGTCGAGGCGGAGCTCGAAGAAGAACGAAAGAAAACAGCCGGCCCAAACGAGGGATGGGGGGACGGCACGCCGCCACCACACACAGGGAGAGTAGCTCGACATCGAGTACGTCGGCAGGGGGTCGTTCTGCTCGCTGTCTTTCTCTTTTGTGCCCGACGTCTTTCTTGTCTCCCTCTAGGCAGAGCTCGACATCGAGTACATCAAGGCGGTGGCCCCGGCGGTACCGCTGGCCGTGGCGGTAACCGCTCGCGCGGCTCTCTTGTCTTTCCACGCCGGCGTCCCGGTCTTCAGGTGCCGCTGACCGTCGTGTACAACTCGCAGTACTCGCTCCTCGCCTGGGCGAGGCAGATCTCGTCGCTCGAGAACCCGCCCCTGGTCCACTCGTCTCGTACGGCGACGAGTGTCCTGTTTCCGTTGCGCGCACCGTGTCTTCTGTGTTAGGTCCATTCGGTCTCGTACGGCAACGACGAGAAGCAGCAGGTGTCGGCCGAGTACATGCAGACGGCGAACACCGCCTTCATGAAGGCGGGCGCGCGCGGCCTCTCCATCCTCTTCGCGTCTGGCGACCAGGGCGTCTGCGGGCGCGAGGGCTGCGGGTTCTTCAAGAAGCGAGTCACGCCCCCGCCTGCCGCGGTTCCTGCTTTCCCTCTGCCGCACGCGTGCTTTCTTTCTTAGGCGGTTCAAGCCTGACTTTCCCGCCGCGTCGCCGTACATCACGGCGGTCGGCGGCACAGATTTCGTCACCAAGTCCGTCGTCGGCGACGAGAAGGCGTGGGTGGCGGGCGGCGGAGGCTTCTCCGACGACTTTGCCATCCCCGCCTACCAGGCCGAGGCGGTCGCGGCGTACTTGAGCCAGCCGGACCTCCCTCCCAAGGACATGTGGAACTCGACCGGCCGCGCGTACCCGGACGTGTCGGCGCTCGCCGGCCAGGTACGGCTCGCGTTGCGCCACTCCCCATATCTCCCCATGTCTCCCCATATCTCGCGCAGGTGAACCCTGACTGCGTCGTCTTACGCTAACCCTAACCCTAACCCTAACCCTGACCCTAACCCTAACCCTAACCCTAACCCTAACCCTAACCCTAACCCTGACCCAGGTGAACCCGTACTGCGTCGTCTCGAGCGGCCGCTTCGCCGGCGTCGCGGGCACCTCAGCGGCGTGCCCGGTGGTGGCTGGCATCTTTGCGTTGCTCAACAGCCGGCGCGTCGACAACGGCAAGCCGGCCCTCGGCTTCCTCAACCCGTTCATCTACCAGAACCCGCAAGGCTTCCAGGACGTCACGCAGGGCAAGAACACGGGCGGCATGCAGGAGTACGGCTTCAGCGCCGTCAAGGGCTGGGACGCGGCCACCGGCTTCGGCACGCCCGACTCTGGGGCCGGCCGCGTTTCTTTTTTTCGCGCGGCGGATGTCTGTCCTCTCTCCCCCTAGGCACGCCCGACTTTGACGCCCTCGCCGAGGCCGTGGACCAGCTCTGAGGCGGTCCCCGCCGCACTCCCCCGCCGCCGCTGCAAGAGCCGCCGCGGGCGCCGCGTCGCCGACGCCCGCGGGTGGAGTGGGTGGGTGAATGGGGTGCGCTGAGGGGGAGGCGCCTGTCGCCGCCTCCGGAGCCTATTCCGCCGCCGCGGCCGCCGCTAGGGCCGAGCGGCAAGAGCGGAGCGGCAGGGAGTTCGTGGATTGACGCGTGTGGGACGGAGCGCGGCGACGATTCGACAGACGACACCGGATCCCAAAGAGGGCCGTGAAGTCGAGTGTGGGAGGAGGAACGTGACTGTTGCTGTGGGAAGAGGAACCTCGGACGTCGTGTCTGAGTCACGGTGTGGCTGAGAGCGTGTACTGTGTAGTAGGAGGAGAGACTCGGATTCACGTGAGCTTGCACCAGGCTCCAACCGGAGCGAGCCCACTTGTTTGGCGAATAGGCAACCCGCACACGCGGCACGAGCTCAAACCCGAGCCCGCAGTGGCCAGTGCCCTCCGCGTACACACACACACACACACACACACACACACACGCACACACACACACACACACACACACACACACACACACACACACACACACACACACACATGTATGTATGTATGTAGTAAGGTGAAGAACAGTCAGGCTCGGACTGGACACCAACGCGGTATGGGTGGACGCAAGACAGATGATGACGACACGCACGAGCGACACACAGACACAAACAAGCTCACAAGACACACAGCCAGCGGCAGCGGGCTGCCACACATCCTGAGTGGGCGTACACATCACTCAGGCCACGTCCCCCCTGTCGCCCCCCCCAGCACTCCAAGGTGCCAAGAGACAAACAACAGCACAACAACAGAGACACGCGACAGGGCGAACGTGTGAGACTAGAGCAGGCTTGCTCCGCCTCTAGCAATCTCGTCGCCGGCCGCAAGGCACGGACGAGACCGTGTGTGGGGTCTTGTGAGGTGTCTATGGACACACACACACACGCTTTGGTGAATTTGCCCCCCCTTTTGGTATATATATAAAAAAAGATGGTGGGCGCACGATACATGAGGTACAGCTCACAGCTCACTACCCGGCGATGGTGGGCGCACGCCCGCGTAGCGGCGGCGCAGGTTCCCTGAGCTGTTCCGACGCGGTCGTGCTAGCGGCTGAGCGAGGCGAGGAGGAGGCGGTGCTGGCGTGGCTCGAGGGCGGCGGGCGGGCCGACGCGACGTACGAGAGAGGCGAGGCGAGCGGCCTCACGCTGCTGATGGGCGCCGCCCGCTACGGCCACGAGCGGTTGGTCGAGTTGCTGCTGCGGCACGGCGCTGAGGTCTGCCAGCAGGACAGCGACGGCGGCACCGCGCTGACGTGCGCCGCCAGCAACGGCCACGAGCGGGTGGTCGAGCTGCTGCTGCGGCACGGCGCGGAGGTCAACCTGCGGAACCGCGACGGCTGGACCGTGCTGATGTGCGCCGCCCGCAATGGCCACGAGCGGGTGGTCGAGCTGCTGCTGCGGCACGGCGCGGAGATCAACCTGCAGAGTAGCGCAGGCTTCACCTCGCTGATGTACGCCGCCCACCAAGGCCACGAGCAGGTGGTCGACTTGCTGCTGCGGCACGGGGTGAAGATCAACCAGCAGAACAGCGGCGGCTGGACCGCGCCGATGCTCGCCGCCCACCAAGGCCACGAGCAGGTGGTCGACTTGCTGCTGCGGCACGGGGCGAAGATCAACCTGCAGGACAGTAACGGCCTCACCGCGCTGATGGACGCCGCCCGCTGCGGCCGCGAGCAGGTGGTCGAGCTGCTGATTCGGCACGGCGCGGAGGTCGACAAGCAGAACAGCTGCGGCGCTAACGCGCTGATGGCCGCCGCCCGCAACGGCCACGAGCGAGTGGTCGAGCTGCTGCTACAGCACGGCGCTGAGATCAACCTGCAGAGCGGCAAAGGCTACACCCCGCTGATGAACGCCGCCACCAAAGGCCACGAGCGGGTGGTCGAGCTGCTGCTTCGGCGCGGCGCGGAGATCAACCTGCAAGACAGCGACGGCTACACCCCGCTGATGAGCGCCGCCCTCCAAGGCCACCCCGCCGTCGTGCTCCGCCTGCTTCGGGCTGGCGCAGATGCAAAGGCTCGCTCTGCAGACGGCAAGTCCGCGCTGCAGATTGCCAAGGAGCAGGCGGCCGAGGTGCTAGCTACTGCCGACGCCGCCAGTGCTCCTGGAACGGACCACGCCGGGTGCGTGCGCGCTCTCACAGAGCACGCAGCGGCGCTGAGGGAGGCGGAGGCGGCCGAGAAGGCGGCCGAGAAGGCGCTCGAGGCCAAGGGGCGGCGCGAGCAGCGCGAGCGGGAGGAGGCGGCGGCGGCGCGAGAGCGCGAGCAGGCGGCACGACAGCGAGAAGCAGAGCGGGCGGCGGACGAGGCGCGCCGGGCGGCGGATGCGGCGGCGCTGGAGGAGCAGAGGCGAGCCATTGCGGCGGAGGTGGAGGCGAAGCTGGCCGCTGAGCGCGCAGCAGCAGAGGAGGTGCTGCGGGCGAGGGAGGCGGAGAGGCTTGCGGCGGAGGAGGCGCAGCGAGAGGAGCAGCGGGCGGCGGCGGCGGCGCGCAAAGCCGCTCAGGCGGAGGCGGCGCGGCGCGACAAGGAGGCTGCGGACAGAAGGGCGGAGGAGGAGAAGGCGAGGCGGCGCGCAAAGGCGGCGGAGGCAACGGCGGCCAAGAAGGAGGCCAAGGCAAAGAACAATAAGGCCAAGAAGGCGCCGTCTGCTTTCGCGCTCGAGGAGGAGCGGAGGGCGAAGGCTGCGGCAGAGGTTCGCGCACAGGAGGAGAGGGCGGCGCAGCTGGCTGCTGAGCAGGAGTCGGCGAGGCGGGCGGAGCGAGAGGCGGCAGAGCTAGCGGGTGCGGCGGAGCAGGCGGCGCTGCGCGAGGCTGCAGAGCTGGCAGAGGCGTTGCGCCGGTCAGAGATAGATGCGGAGGAGGAGGCGCTGGCGCGTCGGGTGTCGCGGTGCGGGGAGGCGGTGAGCAGCGAGTCGACCGGCGGCGGCGGGGACTTGCAGCGGCGTGTCGAGCGGCTAGAGGCGAGCCTCGGCGCGGCGACCGAGGGTAGCCTCGAGGAGCGGGTCGGCGCCATCGAGCGCTTGATCGGGCCAGAGGCGGGAGAGGCGGCGGAGCAGCATCTGCCAGTCACCGACCCGCTTGCAGCCGTCTCACTAGCGGACGCCGGCCTCGACACGGGGCGGCCGGCTGCCCCCGAGTCCACCATGGGGGGAGAGACCACGTGCATCGTGTGTTTCGCGAGAGTCAAGTCGCATGCTGCGGTTCCGTGCGGGCATTTGTGCGCTTGCGGGCCATGCTCTGAGCTGATGCGAGAGTGCCCTTACTGCCGCGAGCCAGTGATGATGTGGATGGTTCCGCGTCCGGTCTAGAGATAGGTGGCTTGCGTTCGGCTGTTGTTGCCCCTCGGATCCCCCCAGCGGCCGGTCTTCCGACACACCCTGTACGGCTGTAGTCGTGGAGCAGCGCAATGTTCTGTGTGGTTTGTGTCGAAAAAGAGTTCTCAAGGCAAGACAGACAACGTGCAAGCATTCTCTCCTGTGCACTCTCTCTTCTCAAAACAGTCTCAGTCACCAACACCCCACATGGGCTCACAACATGTGCACATGCACATGTGCATGCTCCAAGCTCCATGCACATGCACATGTGCATGTGTCAACCCACAACTACGTGGACGTGGACGTGGAGCTTTAGGATTACACTTTTGCCCTCTCCTCCCTGTGCCCTTAAGTGAGCTGAGCAAGCAGACAAGAAGATCGTCTCGAGGCCTTCGCGGGGCAAGGTGCTTCGCTTAAAAAAAAGAAAAAAAACATCGCAACGTTTAGCTCTTTAGGCGACCACGGCAGTACGAGTCAGTTTTGAATGGGATGAGTCATGAGAGGCATGCGCCATGCAGATGATACTTAGGGCGTCTCGTAGCAGCGGCGTCCGGACTACGGTGTGCAGGCACGGCAGCAGAGATGCGTCGAGCCTTCCTGCCCCATGCTTCGGGCCTTCTTGCGGGCGCGGTGGGCGCAAACGTATCCCAAAGCAGGCCCTCTCAGATGTCCACCGCGGTGCGCATGTAGCGCGGGTTTGTCACCCACATCCCAAAGTTGTCGGGAAACGAGCGAGCAGCCACCTCGACCGATGCGGAGTACTCGTCCAGCTCGTCGCTGAGCACGTGCAGCGACGCCTGGAACTTGGCAAAGACCTCGGCCAGCGCCGCCCGCTGCGCCGCGCTTGTCGCCGGGAAGAGGTACGACCAGTCGTTGGGCCCGCCCGGCGTGGCGAGCAGATAGGGAGTGGTCGAGCTCGTCAGACACATGAGGGTCGCCTGCCGCATCGCGAGCTGCTTGGTCCCGCTGAGCCGCCCCTTTGGCCACGAGAAGGCGGCAAACGAGACGTCCTGCGCGAGCGAGCCGACATTGCCGACGACGTTGTGCTCAAGCGCGACAAAGGTGATGAGGCGGGCGAGGATCCTGCGCACGTAGTCGCGCGCCTCCGTTGGGCTGCCATTTGCCACGGCAGCCACCGCAGCCGCGTCACCATGGCTCTCGCTGAGGTGAGACAGCCACGCCCACACCTCGTCGCACGGCTCCCCGGCGGCGGACGGCTGCTGCGGGATGCCGTCGGGGTAGAAGCTCTCGAGGTACTCGCCCGCGAATGCGCTCGCCGCCGCCTCGAACTGTTTGCGGCTCTGCGTGTACTTGGAGCAATAGGGCGGGGCGACCTCCTCGGCCGCGAGAGGAGGGAGGCAGCCGCTGCGCTTGGAGGCGGGGAGGCACTCTCGCACGGCGTGCCAAGCCTGCTGCAGGCCGAGCTCCGTGAAGGCAAAGGCGCGGCCGACGGTTGAGTGCGGCAGGACGAGGGCCTGCCGCGCCCACGCGTTGATGGTGATGTTGCCGTAGATGAACGGCGTGACGAACCGGCGCACGGGATGGTCCGGCGAGAGCGTCTCCCGCGTGGCGATGGTCATGTTCATGCTCACTAGCAGGTGGGTGAGGTACAGGTGGTTCGCGAAGGTCACCAGCGAGAAGAGCGACGAGCGAAAGCAAAACTTGATGTACGCCCAGCTCTTGCCGTGGCTCGGAGTGTAACTCACCGCGGTGGTGGTGACGAGGCCCTCTATCGCCGGATGCGGCACCCGCTCCTGCCGCACGATCGCGACAACGCGCCAGTCGTCGTCAAAGAGAGCGTCGCCCCCGTACGACTCGAGCCCCTCGCGCACCTCGCAGTGAGCGAGGCAGTTTGTCCGGACCGCGTATCTCGCCCCAAATTGCGCCCTCTCCGGCGCGTCGTCGGCGAGCACCTCGATGTTGTCTGCGCCGACCTGGCTTCGCACGAGCCACGTGAGAGCCTCGTCGGAGTGCTTGCTCGGCCACACCTCGGGTACCTCCGGGTAGATCCCGCTGCACACCCGCATCACATAGGCAACCGGGTCCTCTGACGGCGCGAAAAGGGTCTCATCGGCGACCCGCGGGGGGGATGACCACGACAGGAGCCTGCACGCCGCGCCGAGGATCGGCACCACGGGCACCTGCCAGCCGAGGATGTTGGGGTACGCCGCGCTGAACTCCTCCTCGTAGGCCTTCGCCACACTGAGCGGCACCGGGCCGCAGTTGGAGCGCGCGAGCCGGCGCCTGGGCTGTAGCTGGGCTATAGGCATGCACGCGCTCGTCGTGACGGTGGCGCCTCTGTACACGACATACTCGTACGCCATGTGCAGCGCCTGGATCCACAGGATGAAGCCATTGTATGTGTCTCCAAACTGCTGCGGCATCGTGCTGAAGATGAGCAGGCAAAAGACGAGGATGGTGGTGGACAGCGCAGCGAGCGGGAGCACGAGAGGGTAGCACAGCGCGCTCAGCACCAGGCAGGCGATCCCAAACACCGGGAGCTTCCAGCCATAGGCACCGCACCCAAGATTCCGGATACTGAACGTGTTGATGCAGGTGCGGTCACCGCTCACCGACGCCCAGGACGTGCTGAAAGGCATCGTGCTGACGGGCGATGGGTCTGAGGCTACTCCTGCCGCTCTGCGCTGGGACACGAAGGCCCCGCTCGGCTTTGCGCACTTAGGCTGGGATGGCTGCAACCGGGTGGCGAGGGGCTGCTTGTGGGGCAGCATCCCGGGCGAGGGCGACGTGAGGGAGACGGCGGGGCGACACAGCGGCGGGAGCCGCAGCTGGTACTCGTAAGGTGGACACAGCGGTGGACACAGCGGCGGGCGCCGCAGCTGGTACTCGTAAGGTGGGAGGAACGCGGCAGGCAATCGGGCTCCTACCCTGGCTGGGGAAACCCCGGCGTGCGATACACATACGAGTACGGACATACATGCAAGGATCGCCCCCCCTTGCCCACCACATTGTGTGTGTGGAGACGTTTACCTTACAGTACCTTACCTTAGGGGGTCCCTGTGCTTCGCGCCAAAAAACGCACGCCCTCGACCTAGCTACCTCGACAACTGCCGCTGGTACGTGCCCAGGCGGTGCCGCCCGGTGCCGAGCGCGCGCTGTGATTAGCCTCTCGCCGCGAGGAGATGGCAGATGGTACGGTGATCTGCACTGGGACAGAGAGAGAAAAATGGACAGACTAAATTAGACATCGCGCGGATTCCCGATTCCCGCTCATACTCAGGTCGAACGGATCCGTTCCACACTCGGGCTACCGACAGGGAACCTCTCGCAAGTGCTCCGCTCCGCCCACGCGGTCTTGTTGAGCAGCAGCGCGCCGCTAGAGGGCGGTCTCATCCAGCAGGCGGACCGGCAGCTTGCGCTGCTCGGCTTGACTGCGAGTTGAGATCTTCTTCTTCTTGTTCTGGTCCGTGCCACTGAAACTCGACTGCACAGAGCCGCGCCATCACACCCCGCTCCCCGGGGGGCCGCTGGTGAGTGGTGTGAGCGACCCGCCCGGTCTGAACTAAACCGGTCATGGACTCTCATGGCGCGGACAGCTGTGGAGCATGGACGATGGAGGGCACCCCTTAAATAAATAAATAAAAACGGACACCTCTCTACTGTGAGATGGGTAAAAAGGAACAGGTCCCCGCCCTTGCGATCTTTGTGCAGGGTTCTTTGTGGGTGTGGTCGGCGACTAGCCGGGGTCGTCCTCCCGGTGGGGGACTAGCACTAGCCGTCTTCCACATGGTCCCTCGGGTCCCTGCTGCTCCTAATCTCTTTGTACATCCTCGGCATGTTGTGCGAGTATATGGGACACGATGTCTCAAATATGAGGGGTTTTGACTCCTACCGGCTCCTGACGCTATCCCTGGCAGCTCTAATGACCAGGATCAGTAGTGCTATGATAGAGGGTGCCCATACTAGCGAAGGAGCTGCCACACTCGCCCGGAACGTCCCCTTCTCGGGCCGGTTCTGCAGCCCGCGAGAGCCGACAGCGGGGCCGTGCCGCGGGTGCCTACTGCCGAGTGCCACAAACACTGCGCCGTCCCGCCATCACCTACAGGCTGTCTTGTGTGATGGTTGGGATGTCCAAACGCCACCATCTTGGCTCTTGCGACCTCAAACCCGCGAGCTGTATGGGTGGTCCTGACGTCGACAGACGCCCGAGGACCACGGTGAAGCTGAGCTGGAACGAGTCGACAAGTCTCGTCTGAGCCCGTGGCGGTCGCCGGCTGAGTCGCTGTGCACGGACCGGTACCTCAGGCGTCACCTCCGCAGCCTCAGGTCTCAAACTCCACCACCTCCGCCGGGACGCCGTCGGTGGCACGCTCGGCGGCGAGTTTGTTGCAGCCCCACAGCGAGCGCGGCGTCGAGCCTAATCGGTCTGGTCGGTTCGCGGCACTCACTGGGTGCCAGGGAGTGCCGCCGACACGCGAGCGGTGCTTCCTGGCAGCGCGCGCCGGCTGTGGGGCTGCAACAAACTCGAGACACGCTTTTTTGGGACATTTTCGACGCTTTTGTCCCATATACTCGCACAACAAGCCCCTCCTGCTGATCTCCGCAAAGTCCTGCTCCCTCCCTCGGTCCCTCGTCTCGCCCTGCGAGGGCACCCCTTTCTCTCGTCGTGTTTTTATGTTCTCTAGCTCTCTCACCGCGAGACGCGAGAGAGCAAATGTGACATGTGTGTTATCTCTGGGCGGAGACCATGCAGTCGTCCGAGGACTGAGGTCCGTGTTTTGAGAGGCCCTTTTGCTCTCGTGCGTCAGTGTAAATGCGGGGTAAGGAGCAAAGGTGGTCACACTGCCGCCCCGCGCTCGACCTCCGCATCCCTCCGCATGAGGTCGTGCGCTTCGCGCAGCACCCCCCTGAAGTCGGCCGCGCTCATGCCCATCGAGCCGAGGAAGCCGTCCGTCTGCTCCACAAACTCGCGGTTGAGCGCGCCCATCAGCGAGAAGCGGGCGAAGAAGGTGTCCCACCTAGGTCACACCCCCCGTGCCATCGACGTGTCATGGACGTGGCAGACGCGCACGAGCACGCGCGGAGGGGGGTGTCCCACCGCTCCTCCACCGCCTCGAGCGCGTCGAGGAAGGCGATCTTGCCGAGTGGATCGTATCCGCCGTAGCTCTCGCCCATCTGGACCAGCGCCGCGTGGTCGCGGCAGAGCTTCTCGTACCTAGAAGAGACGGCAGTCACTCAGAGAAGACGAACGCCGGCAGCCGGCCGAGGAAGACCTGTCCCGCACTCCGCCCGCACCACCTCGCTCTCAAAGGCCGCCTCCTCCCCGCTGAAGGGCGTCGCCGTCACCGCCTAATCTCGGGCGACCTCGCTCAACCTCGCGTGATCTCCCCGCTGAAGGGCGTCGCCGCCACCGCCTGCGCGCTCGTCAGCTGCGACATCATATTCGCCTATGGGGTCCCGGGCCGATCTCGCGTCATCTCGGCCGATCTCGGCCCCTCCCGCGCCCGTGCGGCGTCATGTCTGCCTGCCCCGACGCCGCCTGCTTGGGCGGGCGAGCTGAGGTAACGGGCGGTCTCCACACACCCCGCGGTGCGTCTAGGCAGGGCCAGGCAGCCCTCGCGACTCCACGCCCAGGCAGGCGAGAAGCTGGCATGGACTGCAGTGTCGAACCTGCTTGGCGGCGAGCCGGTCGAGGTCCACTCCCGGCGGAGGAGGGCGAGGCATCCCTCCCGTCGCAAAGGCCTTCATGTTGTCCGCCTGCAGCGTGGGCGAACTCATTCCTTAGTTATTGATTCATTGAGCCTGCGGCGTGGGCCAACTCGTTCATGAATTAATTATTAATTGAGCCCACGGCGTGGGCGAACTCGTTACGCAATTCGTTATTAATTGAGCCTGCGGCGTGGGCGAACTCGTTACTTAATTCTTTCTTAATTGGAGCACCGCGCGGGTGCGGCGGCTGCGAATAGCGTGACGGCCGCTAAAGGCAGCTTGAAGGGCCGTCCGCTAAGCGTGTCGCTGAGTTGCCGACGTGTACCACTACGACCCGAGAGGAGCCGCACTCGCCTGCCACCGCATCATCGCGCCCACCGACTCCAGCGACTCGCCTTGCCGCTCGGACCACGCCGCCGTCACCTTGAAGTACTCGCGGCTCTGGAAGTCGTCGGCGAGCCGCATGCGCGCCAGCATCCGCTGCCACTGCTGCTCCGCCTCGTACAGGTCCTCCGCCATCTGCCCCACCTTTTGCGGGTCGGGCGAGCCGCCCATGCTCATCTCGAGCTGTAGCCGAGACATCTCCTCGGCAAAGCGCGGCATCTTGCTGCCTGTGAGCTCGCCCATCGCCACGCCGAGCGGCCCATTCTCCGCGCAGGTGGTTGAACGGAACGGGCAGAACGGGCCGATGGGCGTGACAAAGCCGCTCGCAGCGATGGCGCAGCAGCGCCGCGAGCCACCGGCAGGGCGCGTGCCATACGACTGCGTGTGTCCTATCGCGATGAGGCCGTCCGCGCCGAGCCAGAGCAGGGCGGTGATGGCGCTTTTGAGGAGCGGCATATGTAGTACCAGAGCCGGGGCGCTCGAAAAAGAAAAGACTATGGAGGATTCCAGAAATGGTTGTGTCCCCTCTCGCGCTGCTCGCTCGCCCGTGCGGAGGGCATGGCCGCGGAGGAGGCGAGTACGCGCTGCCAGGCCTTCCACAGACAGCCTCTTGGGCAGACTGAGGGTCGGCTTTGCGTGGCGTAGCCCGTGCGCTGCGCTGCGCAAAGCTGCGTGTGCTGAAGGTGCATCTGGTGCTTCCTTTCGGAAGTGCGCACCTCCTGCAGCTGGTGGAAGGCCGTGCCGCCGCTCGCCTGCTCCGTGGACAGGGCGGGGAGGCGGCACCGCAGCGCCGCAGCGTCCGCTGCACGCCGGTGCAGCACTCTGCTGCCTGGCGGGCAGCATGCTGGTGCTGTGCGCGGTGTTTGCGAGGCGGCTTTGGCGCTGTACTGCCAGCCGAGGCGAGTGGCGCGAGGCACTCGCGGCGCCGCGCGTGGCCCGGACGGCGCCAAAGAGCGCGCTCGATGAGCCAGCCGGCGCGGCGCGAGCGCCGTGCAAGCTGGCACATCGTCTGCATGCTGCCGTCAATTCTCTGGTCGACGGCGGTCAATCTCACGATTGTCGATCAAAACCGGCGGGCTTTGTGACGCCGTTTACGCAATCGTTTTTTGGCTTCGCTTTCTCTTTTGCTTGTTTTTATTTCGTTTTTTCTTTTACGAAGCGACGGAGGCGGGGGCGGGCGGGCGCTAACTACGGGCAACTACATGTCGAAGGTTCGAGGTCGACTACTCGCCGCCTGGGTCGTTTGGGGCGCGCGGCTCCGTCGAGGACCGGGCGCGCCCCTTTCCCGGCGCGGCGTAGGTCCCACTCTGATGTCGCCGCTCGGAGGGCCGCGTCCGGACGACCATGGTGCCCCCCGGGACCCCCCG